TTTCATACTTATCACCTGATTCCTTAATTGATAGGCTCTGGCTTCATTTTGTTTCTAAGAGTAGGTTTCAGTTACTCCATCCCAAATCTCCTTAGCAGTATTAGCCCATAGGAAATTTTCTACAATATGAGGTAACATTAGAATTACACAGCCAGGACATTACCATGCAATTCTCTTGCACCCATCGGGAAGAGTCTGTATCATATTTCTTCTCCTCCCCAGTGAGATACCCTAATTTTCCACGGGCACCAATAGCCATCTTAGTTGATTGTGCCCACTCCAAATAATTTGTACCATCAAGTTTTACTGTAGTAATGATCCCAAACCCAAAAATATCACTACTACCTCCAACACCTAGTCCCATAGTACCGGTAGATTTCATCTCGGTATTCCAACTCTCCATYTTACTTCAAACAGTTCAACAGTAAGAAAAAATAGATTGGAAACCTTTCAAAAACAATTTAATATCACACGCACAGAAACAAACCCTTCTGGAAGAAGAAAACCCTAGCTGGAGAGAAATCTCTCTCCTCCCCATGCCTTCCAACAGAGAGAATAGTGAATTGATCACTCCAGGAGGCTCAGAAAAATCCAAAAACCAAACTGCACTCTTCAGAAAATCAAAAGAAAGCTAACAATACTTAGCCGCCCAAGATCAGATCAAAAACAAAGAGTCCAACTTTTATAGGACTCTTCCCCATAGTCCAGTTCTTCTTGATTTTGATGTCGAACAGTAGATCACCTTCCTGATGACTAGATCCCACAAAAAAATCCAAGAATTGGGCAATCTACAACAGATCGATCAGCCCTTTATTACTTCATGCAGTTGGCTGATCTAGGGCTGCCTGAGAATGCTTTTAGAAACCCTAGCTGCCGCTCTGATACCAAGTAGAAAGCTTGTTGAATTGAAAAATATGAAATAAAAGAGTTTCTTTAAGAAAGAAGGAAGAGAGAAGGAGAAGAAGAGAAGAAGAGAAGTTGAAAAGAAAGGAGAGCAATAATCTGCTGCCCCCTTCACTTATTATTTATACTAAAAATAATATAGCAGTACAAAGACAACTATGCCCTTATAGGGCAGCAAGACATAAAACAGCATATATAAGACAAAAAACATAATAAAATTTGGACTCACATAACTACTGTGGTCCCCACCTCCTATCTAACAACTAACATAAAACATCTACTCATAAAAAACATCATAAAACTGATTAATCTTCAACAGTTCCAATCTGAGAGTGGCCAGTTTGTGCAAAAAATGCCAAAATTTAGGTCCGTATCTGGTCCATCCCTCCCATTATCCCATCTGTCTCAAACGAACATTGGATAATGGTCCTTTTTTCTTAATCTTGGTAGCAAGCTATGATAATACAATAAATAGAAAATTTTGATCAAATTCTTGAGTCTTCTAAGTCCAATTAGATCCTTTTTTTTTAGAGAAGGCAAAGTAGTAATTCATTCAAAAAAGAGAAGCCCTTGTACAAGTGGCTGTACAAAGGGGAGTTGCAAAAACCAACTCCCCCATTTTCTATAACAGTACACATCCCTGATTGTTTACAAAACGAGAATCAATCATATACAAAAATTGAGTTTTTGCTACTTCCTCTGTAATGCTTGTGAACAGCTAACCATGAATACAATCTTCCAACAATTTTCTGCCCCACCCTTTTTTGGAAAATCCTCCTATTTCTTTCCTGCCAAATATCCCAGAACACAACAGATGGCAGTATGTTCCATGCTGCCTGCCTTTCTTGCTCAAACCATCCACCCTCCACCCCTTTGAAACATCCACCACCGAAACTGGCCCATATATCTACATATCAAGCTGGCTCAAAGTGGTAATCATGTCTATTAGGTGGCCAATAACATTACTATTCCACATATCTACAATATTGTCACCAATTTGTGTTAGAATACTATATCTTGTACTTGTAGTGATGCAACATACCTCTTGGAAGAAAGAGGAAGAAATAGGAGGAAGAAGAAGAGAGTTCGAAAATTTCTACTCTTCAAAACATAACATAATACAACCTTAACATAATGCAAGTTTATAAGAAACCTAGAAACTACAAATTACAACTAAATCCCTACCAAATATGAAAATTAAAAATAACCCCCTACTAAGAAGAAATTTTACAATTAAACCCGAATTTTGCATTAATCAAAGTAAACTCTAAACTAATGTCATCTATGCTTAAAATAAGTATGAATTCTATGTCGCACTTCAATCTCAAAGTGATCTCCATCAATTCTCCCTGACTGAAAAGAACTCTCCTCAGGAGAGGCGATTGTTCCATTTCACAAGAACTAAAAACCACCTAGTTCTGGAAGTGACAATTTCATCTTGGAGAATACTCTTGATCTGGAAGCAAATCCTCCACATTGAAAGTTGAGATAATTCCCATGTTCGAAGGTAAGTCAAGTTCATATGCATTAGGTTCTATCTTTCAGATGATGCAAAATGAGCGATTGGCTCGGGCCTACAACTTTTTAAAGAAGTGCTTTGGGTAACACTCAAGATGCACACAAATCGTGACATAATCTCCTTCATTGAATTCTTGGTTTCCGCTATGTGCATTTGTAGCAAGTCTATAGTTTTCATTACCTAAAGCAATTTTTTGTCTTATACTTGCATGCAAGTCACAAATATGTTAAGCAAAAGAGTGAGCAAAAGTAGAAGTATGGGCATTAGGAGGTAAGGGAACGAGGTCAACAGGTGTATGGGGGGTAAAGCCATGGACAATCTCAAAAGGTGTTTTGTCAGTTGATCGACTGAATTGTTATAAGCAAATTCTGCAATGGCAACATCGAGTCCCAACTACTAAGTGCTCATGAACTACACATCTAAGCAAATCTCCTAAACTTCGGTTAACAACCTCAGTTTGACCATCAGTTTGTGGGTGACAAGCTGTTGAGAATTTCAACTCGGTACTCGAGAGTCTGTGGGCGACACGTCCAGATATCTCCTATGTAGTTAGTGTGGTGAGCCAGTACATGCATACCCCACGAGCTCAACACTGGGAAGCCATTGATTGGATACTTGCCTATTTGAAAAGGCACCTAGGTAGAGGGATATTGTTTGTTGATCATGGACACATGAAGTTGGGAGCTTATATAGATGCAGATTGGGGTGCCTAGATGACAGGAGATCTACATTAGGAGTTTGCACTCTTGTTGGAGGTAATCTGGTTTCATTGAAGAGTAAAAAACAACCGGATGTAACTACTAGCTAGGTCAAGTGAAGAAGTAGAATATAGATCTATGGCACATGGTGTTTTAGAGCTTCTCTGGGTTCGGTCCTAAAGTCCAAAGATGTTGCAGACAAAAAAAGGCAACTGTAACCGGATGCCATCCAAGGAAGAAGATCAGAGCTCCTTCAAAACTTCACCAAGCCCGATGCTGTTTGTAGGGTAAGTAGATCAGGTCTAGGTGAAACTAGATCTGAGGTTTGGCCTTGATTTAATGTCTTCCAAGAGAGATCTAATAAAATCTCTCCTTCTGGTTACACAAAACAGACTGGACAGAAATTAGGGTTAATCAAAGTAGACCTAATCCCTTTCACTGAATAACGAGGGTAGTAAATCCTAATAGATAGGGTTCCTGCTTTCATCAAGGACCAAAAGAGGAGAAAATGGATCAGAGAGCAACCTGCTCTGATACCATGTCAGTTCTAGGCGAGAAAGAGAAAAAAGGAGAGAAACAGAATTGTGTGGTGTGGTTTGAGTGGGAACCACACCCAAACAGAAAGATATTTATATTAATATGTGAGTGGACATTTCTATCCCTACAATAATAAGAGAAATACAATAATGTACATGAGCTGTGATATACAGAAATTATGATAGAAAAGAGAAGATAAAATTACAATATTAACCCCCATCTTCTCTACAATAATAGTGTTGTGTACAAAATACCTTGGCAATTAAGCGAGGTGACCCTCCATAGTGCCTTGTTGGCTGTTGCCTAGGCATCACCTTGACAATTATGTTAATATTTTGGTTTTCTCTATCTGATTTTGAGCTTCCAACTAAAAAATGTTCCATGTAAAATGAGGGAACTCCATCTTACATTGTGTTGTATGACTTCTGTCTGGGAAATATAATTCTTGATAGATATTATTGTGCGGTCACAAGATCCTGGTTTTACATGACAAGGTGGATTTTGAAGGTATTTGCGTTGGTTGAGATGTCATTTACAAAACTTCTTGGCTTTTGATAGTTCAGGAATAGCACTTCAGTTTAATGTGGGATTTCTCCCCTTATCTGCCTTGAGCTCTATTGTAATCGATACAATTCTATTTCTATATGTTAGTGTTGTGATGTGATCATTGGCCATTCAAATATGTTTGGTGTTCGATGTTCCATATAAATTATTGGTTTTTTTCTTCATCTCTTGTTCGTCCATTATAATATTTGTATCTTTTTCATTTTTTGCCCTTCAGACAGACCTAGCTAGAAAGTTTTTCAAAGATGGAAGAACTTTTGATTTGGAAGGTAATACTTGATCCTCGAGCATCATATTTTCAAAGATAATTAAACATTTTTATATGACAAAAAAATTATTTGGATTTTAGAACATTGGCTTGTTAGGTTATCATTTGTTTACTAGTATCATGCTATATCAATAATGATTACTGTTTCAACAATATCTGCAGGAACTTGTGAAAATTTGTTATCTTATTTTGTCATGTGGTTGGAAATCAATCTGAAGCCTATTCAGTGTTAAATGTTTATTGTGTGTGGTGTCTAATACATCTTTTACTTGGAGTATTGTTGCTTGGACACATTTTTTGTTTTGACATAATTGTTTATTCTTGATTTTGATCTTTGTGCATGTAATAAGAAATTGAAGGAGAGAAAAAAAAGAATGGAAGGATGAGAAGAAGAGAAGAGTGAAGTTCTGCTTTTAGGAGAAGCAAAAACATGAGACATGAATGTGGTGAATACAATAAACTAACCTTTACCAAGTTGCCAACCTCCATTTATAACCTAACAAGAAAACAAAAGCAACACATCTGCACAAAATATAAATAAATTACATAAAATCAAGCTCCTACTTTAACCCAAACACCTCAAATAGATGGACAACTCATTTTTCAGGATTCCCCGTCAATAGGGGTGGATTCGAGCCAAGCGAAATAGCTAGCTATTCGATCTCGGCTCGCCAAGGTAGTACGAGGCTCGAGCTCAAGCTCGAGCTCGGTTTGAGCTAGAACCTTGAGCTGGAGCTCGGCTTGAGAAAAATGTTTTATAAAAATAAAAATAAAAATATTATATGTATAATATTTTTATTATATATATATTATTTTCTATAATTTTATATTATTATTATTATATGTAGCTATTCGAACCGGCTCACAAGCCGAGCTTTATTAGGCTCGAGCTCGGCTTGATTAATAAACGAGCCTATAAATTGGGTTTGAGCTCGACTCGAAGCTCGATTGAAACTGAGCTGAGCTGAGCTTTTCACGAGCCAAGCTCTTCTCTTGGCCACTCCTACTTGCCAAGAACACCATTCGGCTTGGATTTCTGAACTCCTTTTGTAAACATGTTTTCCAACTTCCATTCTTTCATCAAAAAAGGAAGGCAAACGTCACCAGGCAGGACCCTTTCCTAAAATGTGACCATCAACCTTAATATGCTTAGTCCTGTCATGTTGAATTGGGTTACTAGTGATAGTGATTGCTACCTAATTATCACAGTACAACACCAATGGCTTATCAACCTGTACTCTTAACACTTCAAGACTTGATTGTAACCATAGAACCTTAGATACACCATGTACCATGGTTGTATACTCTGCTTTGCACTAGATTGATCTAGTGATTGAAAAAATGCGTCTGAGGCTGCATGCCTAGGTGCACAGACAAAGGTGCATTTCAAGATCTGTGCCTTACCTAGGATCAGGTGCAGCCCCTTTAGAAAGGGGCATGCCTAGTGTGCCTAGTGTGCCTAGGAGTGCACTTGTGCCTCAGCCTAGGCACATGCCTTTGTTAATTTTTTTTTTTGCTTTTTGTAGTTTCTTAAGCATGGTGGCTCGGCTAGGGGCTTTGCCCTTGGACCCTAACTAAGTCCCTTGAGGTAAGTCCAAATAAGTCCATGCTAGGGTTTTAAATTCTTAATCCCTACTTAAAAAATTGGTTTCTAATTTAATTTTAATCCCTTGTATTTTAAAGAATGTCTTATATTAGGAATAGGGGTGGCAAATGGGTTGGTTGGGTGAGGGTTGAGTACTGACCCACCCATATTGACCTTCTAACCCATTTGCCACCTATATTTATTGATGTTAGAGGGTCATAATCCACCCATATGACCCGTACTGACCCACCCTAACGGCCTGACCCAAACTAAACTTTTTCCTTTTTACTTTTTTTTTCTATTTCAAGTTCATAAATGCAGTAATAAAAGATATTAAAAAATTGAAAAATATTTTTTCAAATAAAAATGAAAATGCATAAAAACAATAAAATTGATAAATATATTTCATACAAAATAATAATAAAAAATATGAAAGTGATAAATATATTTCATGCAAAACATCAGAAATTATAAAAAATAAAATAAAAATAACAATAATAATTTAATCCAATGTACCATTTCACATAAAAACTGCAAAATTGTAAAAACATAGAAAATTGTAGAAAATGCAAAAAATTACAATAAATGCAGAATTTCAGAAAAATATAAAGAATGAACAACAGAAATTTCAGAAACAAAATGAAGCAAATACAATTATAAAAACACAAAAAAAAGTTGAAAATAAATAACAAAAAATACAAGAAAATTATTAAAAACTGAAAATTACAGGAAAACATGAAAACACAAAAAAAGAAAATTAAAAAAATACATAAAAAGTGCAAGACATTCAACGAAAAATGGTAAAGCAAAAGCAACTACATTCAAACAACCATAGTAGATTAAAAACAAAAAAAAAATAAAATAAAAGAAAATTTAATATCAAATTTTTATACATGTTCAATTGCTGAAAGTTTAAATGGGTGTTGCATATGCTGGTTTGGGTAAGAATTTGATGGACGAAACCATAATCACCAATCACCGTCGATGGTGAAACCAATGCAGCGGCAAGAAGAGCCCTTGATGGAGATACAACTAGCCTTGGGACCCAGGATCCAATTGATGTCATTGCGGTTGTACAATTTGTAGTCAAAGTCATCAGGCACGTGGATGGTTTTGGTTGGATCTCCGTCTTGGATGATGATCAAGTGGTAGGGCTGGAAAAATGGCCTCCACATGCATCACCATGAAATCCAGGTTTCTGATGGTCGGTATCACAATGTCCAACTCCAAGCTATAACAAACAATAGACGGAAAAAAATAAGAAAAAAGAAGCAGGGGCAGAAGACACAAGCGGCGAGAGAGCTCTTGGTGGCAATGAGCGTCGTTGCATCGACATATGAAAGTGACAAACGGTGAAAATGATAGAGAGACGACTGATGCAAGAGACAAAAATAAAGGCCGGTGACTACTCGTTCCTATTTCATATTTGGTATTTCTCCTAAAGCTCAATGTGACGGCGGACGAAGGCAAGACAACAGACAATTTGGAGCTCCTTTCAACTTCAGGTTGAAATCTCCATCTAGTAATCACGACCGTGCTCAATGTCGGCTGTCAGGAAGAAACAATGGTGTTGAAGCTTCAACAACAAAACAAAGAAACCCTAACTTCAATGACCGAACAAAGAAATACTTCCATATATGATTCCATTTGATTGTTTTAATCCTCCCTCGACCCAACCCACCCTGACCCTCTTCTCCTGACCCTAATGGGCCACTTGGCCCATATGACCCATTGCTGGAATGGGTGGGTCAAGATTGCCAGCCCTAATTAGGAAGAATGAGGTGAACAATATTAGCAAAAAGGGTGTTCTACTTTGCTCTAGCTAACCTTACCTTGTGTACAAAAAAAGCCCTTTGTGATGCTAGATTGAGTTACAACTATCTACTCATCCATGAAACCAGATTTCTACCCATTGAAGTGCAGTAACCAAAAGTAGACCTCTTATAATCTTCAGGCATTGTGCAACCAACATTTGTATACACCTTTACCTTCAAATGATCATGTCTTGAATATAGTATCCTTTTATTTGGATTACCTTCTAGCTGTGTTTGGTTTGAAAGAAAAGGTAGGGAAACCTATACAAACACAGCCTTTCCCTTCCTTTTAGCTATGTTTGTATAGGTTTCCCTAGTGTTTTCAAGGCACAAGGCGCAATGGCCTAAATGTGATTGAGGCCGCAAGGCGAACACTATTTGCTTAGATAGAGAAATAGCCTTGTAGGCTTTGGTATCCTTCACACTTCCAAGCAATCAATTGATAATGATCTAATTCCTTCCACATAGTTGTAAAATGAAACAAAAGTAGAGAGATTCCATTCTTCTTTACACACAATAGACTCTCCAATAACTGATAAACTTGAACATGGCGCCTTTGTTCGGCATGGATGGCCTTGGCTTGTTCCTGAATCTCCTTAGCCATGTTTTCCAACATAAATTTTTTCCTCAAGGAATACTGAATTGTGGAAAGGAGCCATGACATAATCATATAGTTCTCCTAGACCCGCTTGGTATGGGTTGGACCCTTGTCCTTAGGTCCTCAATATCTCCATCTAGGTGTCTTAACTTCTGTCTCCATCCTATGAACAACTTTACTCCCTTTGACCACACTAAATAGTTGAATTTGTGATCTGCCCCGAAGCAAAGAGAAGAGCAAGAGAAAAATAGGGAGGTGTAGAATTGTTCTAGTGTGAGATTAGAAGAGAAGAGAACAAGAGGGAAGAAAATAGGGCTGCGGTAGAGAGGAATAGAAAAACTAACTTCCTCTAACTGTCGCCCCACTTTTATTATAATAATAAATAAGAGTACAATGTCTAAAATAGGCTTCTTTCAAGCAACCTAACTTAGTGCATTTGTGAACACAATGTAATTATTTCACAACCACTTCCTTCATCAGCACCTAATGCTTTTGCCTGTTTGAAATCATATTATGGGGAACTGACCATCCTGTTTCTGAGTGTAGCTACTAGTCAGAACCATTTGTAGATCAGATTCTGACTAGTAAATGCTAGAGATCATTGGAACCATCTGTATAAAATCATTGCAAAGGTGCTGTCTCGAAGAATCAGAGTTGTGCTTCCTTTTATCATCTCCCCAAATTAAGGAGCTTTTGTAAAAGACAGACGGATTATTGATCAGATTTTAATTGCAAATGGGAGTGTGGAGGATTTCAAGAGGGGTAGGAAGAAAGGAATATTGTGTAAACTTGATTTGGAAAATGCCTACGATTTGGTGGATTGGTCCCTTTTGATGGAAGTCATGAAACATTTTGGATTTGGAGAGAAATGGTGTAAATGGATTCGAGGTTGTCAGAAAATTTTCCACTACTCAATTCTAGTGAATGAGACTGTAGTTGATCGCTTTCCATCCATTAAAGTGATTAAGCAGGGTGACCCTCTATCCCCCTTTCTTTTAAACTTG